AGCAACCGTGCTAACCATTAAGCCACAGTGTTGCCCCATGAAATAAACATTTCTGTTACAAAACTTTCTATAATGTGCATGCATCGTTTCTGAAAAGTGTGCTGCTTTCAGATAAAGAGAAAGAAATAATGACATTTCACTCTATTTGTAAAAAACGAGCTTTGTTCACTGAACTGTGAATGTGCAAAAAAAAGTTTAGTTCCTTCTTTGAAGCGGCGGTCCAAAGTCCCAAATTAACTGCTTAAAAAAAATGTTGTTTCAGATGAGACACTTTTATTTAACAAAATCAGACACTAATAATGACTGGATCAAAATAAATGGCATTAACATGCTGATAACAATGAGGAGCAGAAGTTTTATTTTCTAATAACAAATTTTAAAAAAGAAAACCTGTGGTTTCCTTAGGCAGCACGGTGGCGCAACTGGTAGAGCTGCTGCCTCTCAGTGAGCAGGTCCCTGGTTCAAACCCCGGTCCAGGGGCCTTTCTGGGTGGAGTTTGCATGTTCTCTCCGTGCATGCGTGGGTTTTCTCCGGGTGCTCCGGTTTCCTCCCACAGTCCAAAAACATGCATGTTAGGCTGATTGGTGACTCTAAATTGTCCCTAGGTGTGAGTGAGAGAGTGAATGGTTGTTTGTCTCGTTTGTCTCTATGTGGCCCTGTGATGGACTTGCGACCCGTCCAGGGTGTACCCCGCCCCTCGCACAGTGATTGCTGGACATGGGCACCAGCGACCCCCGTGACCCAAAAGTGGAATAAGCGGGTAAAGAAAATGGATGGATGGATGTGGTTTCCTTGAATATACTGAAGACATGGAGCCTTTTGTTGACCGATACGTCTCTGAAGTTGGTAAAGAAAGAGTCAAAAGTGCTACACCTGATCAGATGCTTTCACAGGGGATAAAAGGAAACCTTCACAATCAAATCATTTCTTCAAATAGAATTCAGGACATCACGCCTCATCAAGTCCTGGAAAAACAAACAATGGCAACAAATATCCAACATGCAAATATCTGCTTTGCAATCACATCAAAATTTCCCTCACAGATGTCCACCAGACAAGAACCCCAAGCCTTTTCCTAGGAAGCTTTTGAACACGGTTCTATAGAAGTGATCATCGAAGTTACAATAAGCTGCGAGCACGTTGCACACAGAGTCCTATATAATTAAAAACTGTGACACGTTAGACGCTGTGAGAAACTGGAGCACTTCTAAACAAACTTCCCTGCAGACCTGAGTGGGTCAGCAGCACCGACATCTTCAGTGAAGTAATCTGAGCTGCAGCGAGAAGTTTAGTTTAACAAAAAAAATAAAAGAGCAACTCTGAGTCACAGAGAGTTCAGATTGAATCACGACGACAGAAAAACAAGGAAAAAAATAATCATAATGTTTTGGCATTCCATGTATTCTTTAGATGCTGGCTCAGAGATAGGTTCTGGTTCTGGTACAGCAGACAATTTGTATGAACAACTTAGGAACTATGTCTGGCATTTGTTTTATAAGTAAACTATGTCAAGTGGATAAAACAAACTAGAGAAATCAGTTTATGCTAAAATGCAGTGAATGCTGAGCTCTGAATGCTGATATTCGCTGAAGAAGCTAAAATTGAGTTGTTAAAATGAGAAACAGAAGCTAAAAGGACCTAAACTGAAGCTAAAGGAGCAAAATATCATGTTCTGTGAGGTTTTTGAACCCAAGGTGCAGACAGACGCAAGGAACTTAAGAATAAAATAAAGAATTATATTAAATAAAACAAAAGGCTGCCGTGGAAGCAAAACGTACGTCGATAATAACCAGGAGAAGGGCGTCACGGAGGGAGACAGAGCATGAACACCTTGGGAGGATAATCCACGGACAGGGAAGAAACAAACTGATACAGAACTTGTAGAGACACTAACGAGACACACACCTGGGGTGAGTGGGACTGAAGACAGGTGAGACAGGAGCTGACAACATGAGGGAAGAAACGCTGAGGAAGGCAGGACAGATGACACACGAAAACAAACAAAACACTGATCCTCTCAAATATAAGCTAAAAGGAGCTAAACCGAAGGTTAGGACCAAAGATGATGCTAAAGAGAATAAAACGGGATCAAAAGGAGAAAAACGGAAGCTTAAGAAGCAAAATGGTAGATAAACAGTGTGAAATAGTAGTTAAATGATAATGTGAAATATAACTGAGTAGCAAAACATTAACGATATGCTTAAAGTAGTCAAAGTAAAAAGTAGCAAAACTGTAGGTACATGCTAAAAGTGTCAGAACAGCAGAAAGCATATAAGAAAACAAAAGAGAACAGGTACGCTGAAGCATATTTTAAAAAAACAATGTTTTGAAAGGAAATGGAAGAGAAATTTGATTATAATTTTATAAACAATAAGACTTTAGGAGATGATTTATTTTTTATTTTACAAAGAGAAACTCACTGAGGTTAAAAATCTTGACATCTTATCTTATCTTAGTGGTGTCCTGGCCAAAACTGACAACAAGACACAAAATCATATTTCTTCTTCTTCTTTCGGCTGCTCCCTTCTTCAAGGATCGTCACAGTGAACTAACTGGCACGAAGACTTGGTGACTGTTTTTACGCTGGATGTCCTTCCTGACAAAACCACAGACACCGAGCTACCACAGCCCTCTGTGTGGAGCAGAGAGCTGCTACCTGGGGTGCCCGGGGGAGCAGATGGTGGGGGTTAAGGACCTTCCTCAAGGGCCCAGAGTGGGGCAAATGAAGGTGGAGGCAGGCGTGGGTGTTTCACCTTTCCCACCCACATTTTGATGTTGTTGGTCCGGCATACCAAACCAGCGACCTTCCGTTCACAGGCTCACCTTCTCTAACCTCTGCACCACCATTCCCCCATCATTATTCATAAATAAAAAGTTAAATATTTTGATAACCAAAAAAGTTACAAAAACCACATACTTGTATTAAAGTTTTTAGAGCTGAAAACAAAGTTTGTATTTCCCTAAGGAAAATAAAGAAAACCCTATCCTCTTTTATAACATGGTATGACTGTAAACTGGTGACTTCCTAAGTTTTCAAGCATGCTGATTATTTAGGGGGGGAAGTAAACAACTAAACATCTTAAAAGAACTGGTTCACACCATCAAACAAGATTGATTTTGTTTTATCCTACAGCTTTAAGGCTTAAAACAGAACTGTCAACAGAAAAGTACTCTCCCTTCCCCCCCTTTAGACACAAGACACATCCAGGATGCACAACTAATCAAATTTCAGTGTTTAATCATTGGACAGAAGAGCATATGGTCAAATCAGACAAATGACAGAAGTCGCCACTAAAGCGTTGGTTGTGCTGTAAGCCGTGTCTAAAGCCCCATCCTTTATTTATTTTCTGGGCAAAACAACAAGGCTAACTGCAACAAGAGAATGGTACATTTTACCAGAATAGAAACACAAATGAGCTAAGCGTCACGGAGTTGTCAACCGTTCCAGTCAGGTGGTCCAGTGATAGAGGCAGGCAATGAAAGCAGCAAACCTTGTAGCCATATGTCAGGGGAATAATTCACAGCTGATGTGCCTCAACGGCTACAACAGTGGGTTAGATGAGAAAAAACTGCTTCACTACATCCATTGTTCCTCAGGTAGAGTTTTAATCCAATGCAGGAAAAACAGTCGCTGCGACAAGAGATTAGGCTTCAGTAGACGTTTAAATAAAATTTAATTTTAGAGTTATGATCTGGGTGTTGGACAAGCGAGCAGGTCCCTGGTTCAAATTCTGGTCGGGGGGGCCTTTCTGTGTGGAGTTTGCATGTTCTCTCCGTGCATGCATGGGTTTTCGCCTGGTACTCCGGTTTCCTCCCACAGACCAAAAACATGCATGTTAGGCTGATTGGTAACTCTAAATTGTCTCAAGGTGAGAGTGAGAGAGCGAATGGTTGCTTGTCTCGTTTGTCTCGATGTGTCCTTGTGATGGACTGGAGACCTGTCCAGGATGTACCCCGTCCCTCGCACTGTGATTGCTGGACACGGGCACCGGTGACCCCCGTGACCCAAAATGGAAGAAGCGGGTAAAGATAATGGATGGATGGATCATGGGTGTTGGATTATATCTGTTAGATCTAGACAAACCTAATGAGGAGCGAAACGTCTTCTGTTACAAATAAAGTCCAGTTGTTTTTTTATTGTACGCTTTTTTGAATTCATCATGTCCTGGATGACTGAGAATCTTCACCAGCATCTAGATAAACCCTTTAACCAATTCAAAGAAATCTGGATTCCGTGAAACGCAAACCTCTTATCCGGTACAGCAAAGAGTAAATGGATTCTGCTCATCAAAAACCTAAAGTTGGGGGTAATGCAGGCTTGTGAAGCCCTGAAAAACACTAAAACTAATATAAGTCGACAATAAACCAGGACATGCTGCTCACTGATTTCAACATTTATTAATAGATGTGTTTATCTTTTTAGTTTGATGTAGATATATATTATAGGGGTGATACTGAGGACCTTATTACACATAAGGTAATTAACAGGAGTAATTAGGTAATTAACTATTACAGGGGTCATAGTTGAGGACCTTATCTGCAAACAGCCTGCTTACAGTCCATCATGGATGCTAAGCATAGATAATTAAAAAAATTAAAAGAAATATGAACACAGCTTTATTAGGTATAAATGTACAAATCGACTAATAGTCGACTAATTCGGATTATTATTTACCAGAAAGACGTCATGGTTGGTATAACATTTCGTTGTTTAGAGTAAAAATAATATTGCTTGTTAATATTAATTAGCCTTCAGGTTAGCTAATGACTGCTAGCATTTTAAAGAGCACCGCCGCGGGTGTGCAGGTTCTTCACAAGAATTTAGAGCATGGTTACAGCCCCAAATATAAACGCAGGGGCCATAAAACAAACAGTTTCTCCGGTTAACAGAACCTGCCCGGAAGGAGCGACATCATCACCTCATCTGGCAAAAAGCTGAAGCAGAACAGAGAGCGGCGGAGGGAGGAGAGGACCAACGGTCGAGGGGAAAAAGCACTCACCATCTGCCCTGGTCGTCTCTGGTCCACCGGCTGACAGTAACACTTGTTCGTTCGGAGCCTGGAAGCAGATGTTTGTTCTTTTATTATTTGTGCTCCTTCTCTTGGCTTCGGGGATGAGAAGTGAACCCGGCGCCGGTGAGTTTCTACGTTCCGCTCCTCGTCTCGCTTTTTCAATAGAACAGTTTTTTTTTTTTTTTTTCCTTCTTCGGCAGGAAAACGCACGCGATTGGTTCCCGTCAGTCCGTGACCCCTTCAAGGCTAATCGGACAAATCACGATCGAGACGCGAATGACTGAAAATGCTTTTAAAAAAAACAAAAAACTGATTAACAGCGACAAAATTTTATGGCTTTAAACGTCACATTTAAATGAATTGAACTAATTTTGTTTTGTGTTTCAAGTTTTGTTTCCGTTCGATGGTCTTAAGAGCGCATTTTCACATTTTTGTCGTTGTCATCGTATTATTACCGATGTTTCCGAACTCACCATGGCGGATTTAGCGTGAGCGACTCTTTTGTCACAAACGGTACTATTTTATTAAATTTAATATTTTGGCTAAAATAATAAACCAGATCATTTAAAGTTTCAACCTAAATATATATACAATTGCTTATTTTAACGTATTTACCGGCACCTTGATTTATAACTACTTCAACTGCTTTTTACTGCAGTTTTTGTTATCTGTACTTTATGTTGTCTGGAAAAGGTCTCTGTTGTAAATAAGTTCTCGTGGTTCAATGACACTAGCCTGTATAAATAAAGGTTGAAATAATTAATTAATCAAATACACAACTAAAACAAAACACGTCAAAGGACTATTTTGATCAAAACTTTATTTTTGTTATCATATACCTGGATTATCTCTCAATCATAGGTTTTTTGAACACCTGCAAACAAACTACATGCCATGGAAAGGCACTTCACTAAAACTTGAATACAACACACAACACAAGCTGTACACAATTGTTTTGACATGTATATGTACCAGCAACAGACTTAAAAACTGAAAAAGTTCTGTAAATAAAACGTCAACATACAAACTCACTTGGGAAAATAAATTATGCTCTTGGCAAGAACAAGAGCATGTAAAGAAGCTCAATGAGAACAGGGATTTTTTTTTAAACGGTTACATTTTATTACAGCTTTACTTCTTGACTAAAAGTAATATCAGGTTTGATGGTAAGTATCTACACTGGCTCTCTATGAGCTGTCTGTGCCGAACAAGCGTTGTTAAGTTCAACATGACACCGTGAATCCACTTTTAGTTCATATAACACGAGCAAAATCCCCCTACAGATCTGTGCTTCTGTTAGCATCTGATATGTTCCACTATCTGCCTAAACAGACAAGCTTGTAATGGAGCAGTACTCAGGTGGCTGTGTGGATAACTCAATGAAATACTTTGTTCTCCTTTTCAGTTGTCCCATCGGCTTTTTCTACGTTTTGGTGGCTCAGGAACGGCAAAGCTATCGTCTCCTTTGTCCCTCCCCTCGTCGCTACCCTTGTCTCCCCCATCCCTATCGCTTCTCCGGTCATCACTGTTCCTTCTGCTTCCGTTGCCATTACGACTGTCGCTGTGGCGGCTGCTATGGCGATCCCGGTCACCGTGGCGGTCCCGATCTCTGTCTCCATGGCGATCCCGGTCTCTGTGGTGATCCCCCCCACTGTGCCGATCACTCCTGTCGCTGTGACGATGGTGACCGTCTCCGTGACGTCCCTCCCCGTGTTTGTCCCGTGAGCTGTCTCTCTGTGAGGGAGGCGCAGGTGACGGGCTGCTCTGCTGTGAACTGGTTTGACTGGTGGGCACTGAGCTCAGGGAGCCAGCACTGGTGAAACCAGCCATTGAAAACGAGCCTACATTTGGCCGTTCTGAGCCATTGGCAGACTCTGTTGGCACGGAGTTCAGGCTGCCGGCACTCGTCCAGCCGGAGGAGCTGTTAGATTTGGTGCTCAGCTTGGGAGGGCCGCTGGTGGCAGCCACAAAGTGGCTTTTATACTGAGACTAGAAGAAAACGATACATTAAAAACAAACCATTAGCTGTCTGGGAGGGAAAGAAGCAGAAAAAAAATAACATTTAAATAAAGAATTGGTGTTTTGTCTTATAAACCATACACCTGCAGAGAGGCGAAAAGAGTTTTTCGGTCATTATCTCTGTTACACATGAATTCTGTTTTTTGTTTGTATGTAAAAAGTTACTTTAAATTTGCAACTTATCCATAAATAGTAAATAAAATAAGACTTTAGGAGTCATGTACTGTTACATTACAAAAAAAGGATTATCTGTATTTTTACTAAAAATGCAGCAAACCACAAATGTGGTTTTAATTCAGGTTATATGTATAGAATAAAAAAAATGAGAGCAAACATGATATATGTGAAGAATAAATAAAATGTAGCGTACTTCAAAATAAATATTTACACAAGCACCGACAATTAGCTGTACCTGGAAGGCTTGTTTCAATGCAGACATGCGATCCCCCATCGCTCCGGTTGTTGGCTTGGTATAGCCTTCATAGCTAGATGACAACAAGCTGCTACTGCTACGTTCCTGCAGAGATCGTTAATATCAAAGTAAAGATTTTCAAAGCTGAAATGAGAAGTTCAGTCAGGAATATACATTTATTTGTCCATTTTGTGCACAGTAATCAATAAAGTTGTGAAAAGTAGACTTATGTTGTGCTAACTGGTAACTTACGGAGCTGTCAGATCCCAGACCTGGTCTTTCTTTGTAACCGAGACCTCCTCCTCCAATGTTCGGCTTCTTCCCTTTACCACCCTTAAATCGTGACTTCCTGAACCAGGGGTTCTGAGGTAGAAATTGTTAAAAAAAAAAACATATTTTGAAACACAGAACCTTTAGTTCAGTTACTGCACAATTGCATGCATCTTCTTTTTCATGTGTTGCTTACCTGCATGGCTAAATCCATGAGTTCTTTGGAAACAGACTGATTGGCTCCCTCCAAGTTTCGCACCAGGTCTCCAGCAAAAGAGGTGTCTTTGTTGGTGAGGAGGGTGTGGGCCACGCCTTTCTCCCCAGCACGACCCGTTCGGCCAATCCTGTGAGTGTGTGTGTCGATGTCCCGTGCCACATCGTAGTTTACTACAGTGCGAATGGACGGGATGTCAAGACCACGAGCTGGGGAGAAGAATATGACAAAAAATGAAAATAGATCACAAAAAGTAAAATGCTTCCTCAGTCTTCATCACCCCGCTCCTCTTGTACTCACCAGCTACATCGGTGGCAACCAGAACAGGCAAATTCTTCTTCTTGAAATCGGTGATGACCTTGTTTCTCTCACTTTGGTCCATGTCTCCGTGCAGGAGGCCCAGGCTGTAGCCCTCCTGCTGCAGGTTAGTTGCCAGTTCCTCACTGTTAGCCTTCTTGGTGACAAAAATGAGGACAGAGCCCGAGGAGGTGAACTCGACCAACCGCCGGAGCAGCCACGACCATTTTTCTGACCCGCTGGGCAGCAGCTCAACCACCTGAGTGACATCCTCATTGGCCTGTACGGACGGAAAAGAAAGGAAAAATGTTTTTATAAATGGCTTAAATTTCCTTTTTAACTATAAGTGCATGCTTAAAAACAAAAACATCCTACATTACCTCTCCAATGTCACCTTGCACCACACGAATGGGATCTACCAAAATGTCCCTTGCCAACCTCTCGATCTTCCTTCGAAAAGTGGCACTGAACAGAAGAGCTGTGAAGGAAGTGTTGGATGAAGAAAAACAAAAAAGTGCTGTGTTGTCCCAAAAACGAAATGAATAACAAAAAACAGTACAGGAAAATCACTTACTCTGCCTGTCAGGGCGAACATGGCTGGCAATTGATCTAACTTGATATTCTAAATAAAGGAAAGATCATTTATTTTACACATTGTAAATGTAGAAAACTGTTCTCCCACAATCATTACAATTCTGATGGTCCCAGCTCACCAAAGCCCATATCAAACATGCGATCAGCCTCATCAAACACCAAGTAAGTCACTCTTTGCAAGGATGTAGCTTTCTTTTTAACATGGTCAATCAGACGACCCTGTATGAATACACAACAGGAATAAAACTCTCATATTTGCAACAAAAAAAAGAGGATTTTGTTTTTAGGGAAATTTAAAAAAAAGTTGTATTCCTTACTGGTGTGCACACCACAATCTCTGCTCCCTCCTGCAGAGCCTTGGCCTGTTCCCACATACTGCCTCCTCCATAAACAGCTACAGAACGCAGAGAGTAGGCTTTCCCAAAACGCTTACATTCTGCATGGATCTAGTGAATATTAATAGTCATGCTCATAAGAACCATCTCAGCACTTTGCGACGATAAACATCTCTTGTATTTAAAAAAGGCAGTCTCAAATCTTCTCTGATTTCTTACTTGCTGACAAAGCTCTCTGGTGGGACACACGATGATTGCAATAGGTCCCTCTCCAGGTTCCAGCTCCTTCTGGTCCATGATGTGAACCAGCATTGGCCAGATGAAAGCTGCAGTTTTACCGCTGCCAGTCTTTGCGATGCCAATCATGTCACGTCCGGACAGAGCAATAGGGACACCCTGGAGCGCAGATCAGAACAAGAATGAATCAATTCACATCTCCATTTTGACAATGTAGCGATGAGTTTGAAACCAAGAAATCAATATTTGGATTTAAAGAATATTACAATTTTAGGTAATTATGGACTATGATATTAAGTAATTTTTTATGTGTAGACTGTAATGTATTTAAGATCAGCAAAATAATTTACCATACTAAGACTGTTTTTTTCCCTCTATCTTGAAAATTTTTAAGTCAATTTTAAAATTTGATCTGAGTTTAATGGCCATAAACACAGTAAGCTTCAGGTTCAGGTTACTCCTTTTGGGTCGTTTTGTTATATAGTGTCAACGTAATTATTATCTCAACTATGATTTCAAATGTACACAAAAAATAATGAAAATATAGAAAATAATTTATTCATCTCAAATACCTGACACTGAATTGGTGTGGGCTGAGTGTACTCAGATTTTCGAATCTGATGCATCAACTGCTCATCAAAACCAAAGTGTGCAAAGCTGGTGCAAGGTTTAGGAGGTGCAGCACCAGATACCTAAAAAAGGCAATAAATAAAATTAAAATCAATATTTATGAATAGTACAACACCTGAAAAAAGCTCAGTGTTTCATAGATAATCATTAATCAGACAAGGATTTTGAAAATACTGGATTTAACACAAAATACTCAAATCACAGTAGAAAACCTGTTTTGTTTCCTATTCTTTTATTTATAAATGTGCATGACACATTCACTTACTCGCAAGTTCAGTTTCTGCCTTAACTCCAACATCTGAACTCCAGTCAGGCTGCTGAGCTCCTCGTGCTCGTTGTAAAAATTCTTCTCAAAAGGTGGATAATCAATCTATGATCAAAGAAAAAGCAGATAATGAAAAATAAACCTCATAACAAAAATGGTTTCTTTCACTTGTAATAAATAACCAAGAATGTCTTTCAATTGTGTCTTCTCATTCAGCGCAGTCAAATGTACCTCTGAGTGGTCAATAGGAGGAAGTGGCATGATAATTTTCTTGGTTGTGGAGGGAATTGGATTTCCATCACTGTCATAGTCAATGTTTTCCTCCTCTTCCTCTTGGGTCAGCCCGGCTGTCGGATTCTCTGCCATGTAGCGAAAATAGGCTTCCTGCAGAGAATCCAACGTTTTCAGTGAAAAACAAAGATGATTACTCCAGTCTTTAGTAACAAGTAACCGTTCAAACATTTTGTGTTTTATTGAAAATAAAATACTATGCACAAGATGAATATTGCTCACAATTCGAAACCAACAATTATGCCAATTTTAGACTTGTTTTTTTTTGAAAAACAACAAAAAATAATAAATCAGCATCAGAAAAATCTATCCACAATAATGATCCTAAATGCAACCTGGTTGATTGGAGAAAGTGGGAGGATGAGGCGTAAGGAACTTTACAAGATCAGAGAGGGAAGAGTGCCCTGATCTGCACTGTGGTGGATTAAGAACTATGGAGGGCTCGCTCACTCACTTGTTCATCTTCTTCTTCAATGTCATCACGAATACCCCTGAAAAAACAAGCGGAGAAAAAAAAACTTCCCTGCAACTCGTTCGTAAACCAAATACAGCCAACATCCCACAACGACTTAGTCAGCCTGCTTACCTCATAATATTTATTCAGCCAGCAAAGGCTGCATGCCATGGGTTACTTTTTATGCCATGCACTGGAGCAACTAAAAGCTGCTTACATGTTAAGTCACTTAAAGTCAATTTAACACAAGAATAACACAAGCTAGCAGCCTGATATGATTTCTAGAAAGGTAAAAATTCAGCTTATAGTAATTTAAAATATTTTCAGAGACTGAAAATCAAGCCAGTGAATCTTACTTTGATGACTTTTTCTCCTTTTCTTCTAGTTTCTTCATGTCTTTCGCTGCTTGATCCTAAGAAACAATAAATTCAGTTAAGACACTATACATATATATTGTGTGTGTATATGTTTTTTTACTACAGTATGACACAATGTATGACCCTTAAATCATTGGTTGGCAGTGGGATATTCAAACAGAAATTCACTAGAGGCAAGCCTATTTTTTAGTGTAAGATGTGAGAAGATAGCGGATGTTAAACAACATTAAAACCAAACAAAAAAACAAAAGATAAGCGGAGATTATGTTTATGACTATTCAATTGTGTGTGCATAAGGAAAGAACTTTAAAAAGAAAATATTGCTGCAGACAGAACAAGGCCAATCGTATCAGAATCATGAGCAAAACTCGATACAACTATAGCTTATTCAAATTGAAGCTCTTGCTACTGGCCAAAAATCACAGTAAAGTATAAAGCAATATGCAGTTTCTCAGTCGAATACAATGTAGGATACATCACAAGGCTGATGTATTGTAGCACCAACCAAGTTCAGCTTCAATCTTCTTACCTCAACCTCGGCCATGAAGGCATCCAAAGGGTCATCGTCACTATCTGAGCCTCCGCCTGACTGCATCTGCTGCCGTGTGGGGGAGTTCTCAGCTGGAATGTAAGGAAGATCCACGTTGCTGGATTCCTCCTCATCATCTTCAAAATACCTAATTATAAAAGGACAAACAAAACTTTTAAATTAATTACATTTAACAGCTCATTATATATAATGTTCTTAACAGTTGTGCTAAATAACGAGTTAAACTGTACATCTATTAGGGACAGCTTTTACTCACGCATTTTCCTCATCAAAGGCAGATCTTTTTGTCCCTATTTTATAAAATGATGGAAGCTGCTGGCCCTTCCCGTATCCTCCACTTGATCCTGGAGCTCCAAACGTTGTATTTGACTGCTGGGGAGGGCGAGGCTCCTCTTTCTTCCCTGCGAGGGAAAAACCTCCAAAACCAAACCCGCGCTTCACACCTTGACCACCTTTATTCCAGTTCATGGCTGTGCTGTGAAAAAAATGAAGGTGGGAAACTTATTTAATGTCTTAATAGTCAATTGTCATGAAAATATTTATTTGACACATAAACACAGATTAATAAGTGGATAAGTACATGATACTCTGTATGTACCATTATTTAATACAGGAAACTACTTATTAGCTCGTCCACTACATAAATACATAGATTTACAATAATATTCGCAACAAATACAACATTATTACTTAAGTTTAATGCATATTAAAAAACAAGTTGTGCATCATTACTGAAAATATTTGGGGCTCCCAATGCGCTGAAACCGAAACAAAGAGAACTGCATTGTAATTAATTAGCAATTAAATTACACCAAAACAACATGTTAAGCATTTCTTTCTTTTTTTTATCTCGAAAACAGTCCCATGTTTTACAGTAATATGACATTCGTTCAAAACGTTAGCATTAGCTCAAGCTAACTAGGCCGCACCACGGCCGAGCTGAATGTGTGCGTAGAATGACGGTATTTTACCGCTAATTTACTGCCTTTATGGGGATTTCATATACAGGGGTATACAGTAACGATGTTCAATAACTAAACGTATTGACTGTATTAAGAACATATGATAGTGCATAATCATTTACCTGCTCTGCGGGCAGTAAATAAAGCTCCTGTTTTCCTATCAGGCCCAGTGGTGTTTGCGTCATCAACGCGCGCAGTGATTCTACGAGTGTGTCGTATTTCGTGCGCGACAGAAACACCCCGCAGGAGAGGATGTCTCTATAAAAAAAAACGTTGAGTATGTTTTGATATTGCAATATATTGCATTGCTGTTCTTCGCATGGAGTTGGTAAGTATTTTAGGCGAATAAGCTATGTTTAATAATCTTGTTAAAATGAGTCCAGACTGACAGATGGTGTAGCTAATTAGCTCTTGCTATCTTACATGGGCGAAGTTTAAACTACTAAATATGCTACTAATGAACAGGCGGTGTTTTGGTGATGTGTTCAGTATATAATACTTCCTTTTCTATTGTTGGAAGTATTTGCATAAAGTAAAACAAAATCCAGGATTTGTTATCAATACTACAACCTCTTATGTATTTACCGACGCATTATCGTGGATTTAAGTCTTAAGTGCAAATTGATGAGATTGTTTGCATGAGGCGCAAACAGTACATCCTCTTAAACATGATGTTTCCCTTGTTTTCACAGATTTTACAACGTTATATGTAACAAACTCAAGAGGATCAATGTCTTTTCTTGTAAGTGTTTTTGCCAAGTTCATCCATTTATTGACCTTATAGGGATGAGTTTCTGGATTATGAAAAATCCCAATGTAATTCCTCCAAAAATCCCATTGAGTAACGGTCTAAAACTGTATTTAAACCACTTTGTATTCATGTTTTGAACGAGTTCATTTTCTGTCAAATTTAAAAATGGTGCACATATTAACCCTTGCAGTCAGCAACATGAAATACTTTCTCTTTGTGTGCCTATAATCTTTTCTTATTCTTTCTTGCATTTTTCTCTCTGTTCATGCTTGTCATTAACCCTCTGTCTGTCAGCGTTGGGTATCTGAGAAATTGAGTGTGGAGAGCCTGCGAGATCTGGAGTTATTCGGAGGTGAGGTTCAAGTTAAATCAACTTTACATAAAATAATTCAGCATTTCTAATCCAAACCTACTGGTTACCCGTTAGCTTTACTCATAAACAGTAATAAATACCAGAATTTGCAAATAGTCTTTGCTCTGAGTGCTCGCTTTTCTCTGCTTACAGATGTCATCCTGTTAATCATTTATCATTCTTGCCTAACCTGCCTCTGCTTTGTTACCTATTGTTTGCGTCAATATTTAAACATTCAATGACACAAAGAATCTCTTGTGTGCTTGTTTACCTTAGGGAATTAAAAAGTACCGTAAGCACGACATAACAAGAACAAAATCGGACCGAACTATTGACTTTGCTAGATATAAAGCAGCTCTTTGTTTTGCATTAATCAAAGCACAGTTCTGTAACATCATTCAAAATATAAATTAATTTAATTTTAATTATACTGAAGAACTGTCTGTGGTGTATGCAGTTGATGCATTATAAAGTTATTCACTTTGTTGAGACTTTCAGACGTTGAATTGTGTGTTGCAGGTTTTTGTTGAGCAGAATATCACACACTTTTATCTTAAATCTCATGCTAACATTAGACTAATTGTACTTTTAATGCATATTTTTAGGCCAAATGAGACAAGTTGTTTTGTCACCAGTGAAATTAGGAGTAAAGTATGTTTTATTAAAAAGTTAAAACAGATTTGCTTTTTGTTTATGTCTTCAGTTGTATGCTTTTGACATAATGAAGATCATTTTAAGCATAAATTGATTTATTTTTTAATTAAATGTTTTACAGTACATAAAATCCCTTAATGAAAAAAGATCTCTTAAAATTATTTGCTAAATTTTCCTGTTATTGAAGTTTATCGCTTCTCTGTTATGTAGACTGTTTATTTGTAAAATCTTTGGCCTTCAATCAAAGAACCCACACTATGGGATTAGGTATCTTCTTAAAAGTTAAGATATTGGTCAAAGTCGCTTAGATCTGAGACCCGAGGACAAAGTTTCCTGAACTATTGTGCATTAAAGTCTTAAAAAACAGCTTGTTTTTATGCTTGTTATTTATGAAATTGTCTCAAACTGGTGATTATTTTTCTTAAGTTACTTATTTATCTTCTCTAACAACATTGTGATGACGTGGTGTGTACTCTGACCCAATTCTCAGTATGATTTGCATTATTTAACTTTTGTTTTGCACCACGCATTTTGATTGATTTTACTTTGATTTGCAAATTCTCCTCATGTTCATGTTATTGCTTGCAGATTTTTGTTCAGTGTTGCATGTTTGTATAAATTTATCATTTGTGTGTTGTTCTAATTCTTTTGGTTGATTCTGTAACGAACCTGCAGAGTAGCTACTTTGATAGGATTATTTTTTTATTTTCCAGAATTACAAATGTCACTGTAGCTTCTGTTAAACAGATTTTTGTCCTTAAAGGTAACACTACTGCCCTACTTTTTAAGGACAAAGCAGCTGATTTTGATAAATGAAGGAAAGTTTCTGCTTTTTGTTTTTTTTACATCATGCTACAAACCCTTACAGCTGGTGGCTGAAACACTCCTCTAAACTCAGATCCTGTTCTTGTTGTCCTTGTGTACGAGTCGTTGTATCATTGACATGGTTTTTCTACCCCAGAGCAAGCTCAGGGACTCTCCCACAGGAAAGTAAGTGCGGTACTCCTGTCACTGCATCGTCATCCCTCATGTGCCTTTTGTGTATGTGCGTGCATGCACCTAAACTGTATGTACGTGCGCACAGGGATTTATATTTAGATGAACCCACTATTCCCTGAGGCTTGTCTGCATGCATGAATTCATGACCCATGCTGCACATGCTTGTTGTGGAGATGGTCTTTTCATCACACTCACAAGAGCATTGAGTTTTTTTTCCTCATATTAAAACAAATTATGCAGCTGACTAAATATTTTTGTGTTAACTTTCTGTGCTCCAAACATCTGCTCTTGCTTTGGATTTTTATATTTTTGGAAATCCACCAAAAAAAAAAAGAAGTCTTGACGTTGTTCAGTCATAATAATACTTCCTGTATTTTGTGCTGAGCTGCTGTATGTGTCGTTTTTGCAGATGTATGGAGTTCCTTTACGGTGCTGTGAATAACTGTTTGCCCTTTATTGACTTCTTTAGACTTTTGTTACATTTTTTGGGTCCTCTAACAAATCTAGTGGGTGGTTGTGCTATTCTCGGTGGCAAGAAACTGAAATCAAGCGTTTGCGTTAAATGGCAGCGAGTCTTTCTGTGGCGGTGGAGGAATTTCGCTGGTGTGCTTTGGATCATTGCCCTGCAGCAGAACTCAAGTGACAAACTGGTGACTGGTCGTTTTCCTTCTGGATTTTCATTTAGATTTATGATTCCCTCAGTTGCAGCAAGTTGCAACTGAAGCAACATAACAGCCCCAGACCATCACACTACCGCCACCATGTTTGACACACATGTTGCAAAAGGCTCCACTTGTGTTTTCCCTGAACAGTCTGGGGGGTCACGAAGATGGATTTTGGTGAATGTGACGGGCCTTTGTATTCTTTTTGCTCTGCGGTGGTTTGAGCCTTGGGTCCCTCTCCTGGAAGCCATTTTTGTCATTCGTCACTTCCTTATTGTTAAATCATGAACTCCGACCTAAACTGAGACAAGTGAGGCCTTCAGAGTTTGTTGTTCTGGGTTCTTTTGGGACAGGGGTCTGCAACCTTTCCGATCGAAAGAGCCATTTCTGCCACTTCGCTCATTAAATACAATGTGTCTGGAGCTGCAAATCTTGCTGATCAACTGGTGGCCCGTGGGCCACTTAGTGGTCGTTAGAGGAGGGCTTTTCTGGCCAGTTGGGGTGACATGATAAAACTAAAAATATATAGTGAATTTTTACATTTATTGAGTAGGAAAAAATGTTTATACTGAGTCTCTGCAGCTTATGTGTCTTATTTTCCGACTTAAAATTAAATATACCACTTTGGAGTAATAAAACATAAATTTAAAGTATGCAGAAACATTTGGCATTTTGCTGGGCAAGTTGTTTAGTTTTAATTTTAATTTTATTGAGAGAAATATCCCACTGTAAGCCTGGAGGTTGGATAAATGAAGTAGCTAAATGTAATCGACACGTTTCTCTCCTTGTATTAATATATTTAACAAATTTACAGAAAATTGATAAAAAAAAACTGCTAAAACTCATTTTCTATTATGGATATAAATAAAATAAAATACAGTGCCATGTTAGTTTTGGTCAAAGCTTCAAAGGGCCACAGATGAGAGACTAAAGAGCCGCATGTGGCCCCAGAGCCACAGGTTGCAGACCCCTGTTTTAGGACTTGCTCAATGGACGAGTCATGGATGCACTTTAGGAGTAATTTTGGTCGAGTGGCCACTTCTGGAAAAAGTTGCCACCGTTTTATATTTTCTCCATTTGTAGATGGTGGAACTGTTTAAGTGATTTCTTGGTTCTGCAGGTCTGGCAGTAATCAGGTCCCGGTGTGGCCGGTGAGATTGAACTTGGCTTTCCAAAAATGTCAACCAGTTCATGATTTAACACGATTAACAGGTTGACTTGAAGAGCTTTTTTCCCTTAATAAACTAAATCATCATTAGAAAACTGCATTTTATATTTCCTCAGATTACCTGGTATTTGTCTGATTTGAAATATTTAAGTACTGTACTTGCCGCCGTACACGTCGCACCGCCGTATAAGTCTCATCCGTCCAAATGTCTAATAAAGTGGAAAAAAAAACATAAATACGTTGCTTTGCCATATACGTCGTGTATTATGCATCACCGCTGACCAACCAGACGAAGGTGGCTTTTTATGGCAAGCCAAGAGTCTCTTTAATAGCCACTTTTACCTATTAATGAGACACTTGGCTTGCCATACAGTCGAGCGCCCTCTAGAGGCTGGAAATGTTAGTGTTCAATATTTTCCATGTCAGAATGAATGAAATCAGATGTCAGCCAAAAATTGGGTTATGAATATGGGAAAAAACGTATATTAGTCGCTTCGGTGAACAAGTTGCAGGGCATGCTAATTTATGCACAAAAGGCGCGACTTATACAGCAAAAAATACGGTAAATGCAAAAACAAAAGATATCAATATTTGGGCAAATACTTTTTCACAGCACTGTATTAAGGTTCTTGTCAGCCCATTAAAGGTCTGATCACAGTGGAAGTGTTTTGTGTGCTTCATGTGATGAGATGACATTTATAAATGCTCCTTTAAGCCAAGGCTGTCACAGCATGTTTGAGTTTCCTGCTACGGCAGATTCAGTATTTGCTTTAGGTGTGAAATCATTTGAATTTACATTCTTTGGACCCGTCCACACGTGGAACAAGACTTTGTTGCATTTGTGATTATGCTCTTCCTCAGATAACCTCAAAGGAGTGCACGGTTCTGACGCTGAACTTCATTGTGGTCACTGTGGAAACAGTTCAAACAATCCATCCACTTGCTGTCATTTGTTTCCACAGCTCGCTGCTGGAGTCGGTCCATTTCCATCACTTTAACATCAATAATTTGATGGAATTCAGGAGTCCTCACTGCCGACCATATTAACCTTTTGATTTTTTTTTTGTTTCACATTAAGGTGTGTTGAGTTGAGCACACACTTTGCACTGGTTGCAACATATTTCTCTTCTCTTTCTTTATATTAATGGAAATTTGTGAATATAGAGAAACCACAAGCAAACGAATGTCCACATTCTGGGGTCACTGTGCAGCGAGTGCACTTCACTGTCAGGTAGAACTGTTTGTTTAGTACTACACTTACCTTAAATATTTGTATTTATATTGGTCGTACTAACACTGGTGTCAAACTACTGTGTCTTTAGTGTTGAGTTTACAGATTTCACTTATGTCAGAGCCTCTGGGTGCCAAAAACAAAGTCTTAACAGCTCAGCTGTGCCACAAACAAAGCCCACGTCAGAACGTCATTTGGTTCTGTTTTCTCCCGTCCACCTCCAGAACCATGAGGACAGTCGGGAGAGTCTGACCTCGCTGCCCCGTCCAGACACCATGGGCAGCTTCCTGCCTGACAGCGGCTCATACGACCTCCTCGCCGTTATCGGTAACTAAAAGCAAATATGGCTGATTGGTTTTAAATAGAAAAAAAAGCATTGTATTAACTTTATTAGGTAGAATTTTTTTTTTTTTTACTGCAACAATGTTGTGAGATTAAATAAAACGCTGCCTCTAACATCTGCAGTTTGTAGAATGTATCAGCAAGAACCGCACTTTTATTTTTGCATTAATTTTTAGGTGTTTTCCATGCAGCATGAAGATTCATAGATTTGAGATTTAAGCATAATTTTGCAATATTTTTAAGTTAGTTTTTTTTTTTTTAGGGAAGGGTTTGGATGACTTGTTGACTGTGAACCAGGCTCGGTTCAAACCCACCGGGGAGCACGTGGCCGTTCGGCGGATCGACTTGGAGTCCTGCACTAATGACATGGTGACCTATCTGCAGGTGTGCATCATTAGAGCCTAAACGCTCGTTTTAATTAAGTTTTTCTGTCTTCTTCCTCGTGTTTTATTTCAAATTTATGTGGAGAAACCCTGTTTCCCATGTGTTCGCTCTGTTCTCTTCAGTCTGGTTCTATAAATTAACCCTCTGGTGGCCATTTTTTTTCTCCTACCAGGGTGAACTACATGTGTCCAAGTTGTTTCATCACCCCAGTATTCTACCTTACAAGAGCGTCTTTATAGCTGAAAATGAACTGTGGGTTATTACACCGTTCATGGCTTACGGTAGGATGAACCTAATAATTAAACTGATTGTATCTTTGATTTAGAGGCAGCATGTTAGGATATTAAAGCATTTTGTGTTAAGAGAGAATTGATTTAATTGTTTCTTTCTTGCAGGGTCGGCTCGAGACCTCATCTGCACGCATTTTACTGATGGGATGAGTGAGCTGACCATCGCGTACATCCTGCTAGGCATGCTTAAAGCCCTGGAATACATCCACCACATGGGATACGTGCACCGGTACATGAGCCACGTGTGAATGCTGATTCAGCATTTACAAATATTTTTCTCATGGAAATACATTGGGATCTATTCTGTTCCTTCAATCTACTAAATCATTTGTTTTCTGCTGTTCACTTTTTGGCTACTGCTCTGCTACTTTTAGCTACCATTCATTTAGCTTTTAGCTAGCCTTTTGCTACATTCAGCTTTTAACTATTTTTAAAAAATCATTTTAGCTTCTGGATGTTCTTTTGCTATGTTCGCTAACCTTTTGCTACTTCTAGCCAGTGGTGGGATGTAACTAAGTACAAGCACTTCATTACTGTACTTAAGTACATTTTTCATGTATCTGTACTTTACTTAATTAAAGATAAAGGTGGGTACTTTCAACTTTTACTCCACTATATTTTACATTAAGTATCTGTACTTTCTACTACACTACATTTCTATAATGCGTTGTACTTACAAGTACTTTTACTTAAGTAAAAATAATGTTTCACTTTTACTAAAGTACATTTTTGTCTGTTTATTTGTACTATCACTTAAGTACAGTGTTGGAGTACTTTCACTGCTTTTAACTAGCTTTTTGCATTTTGCCGATCAATTTGCCATTTTAGCTTTTTAGCCAACCTTTTGCTATTTGATCTAATTTCTGTTTAGCTTTCAACTAGCCTTTTGCTACTTTTAATTAACCTTTTGCTACTCTTTTTACATTTTTCCTACGTTTTGCTTTTAACCATTGCTTTGTTGTTTTTAGCTTTGTTAGCCTTTTGCAAGTTTTAGGTTCTAGCTAACCTTTAGCTACTTTTAGCCAGCTTTCCTCTCCTTTTAGCTTGAATAATTTCATTTGTCACATATTAATGAGATAAGGAGGTACGTTTAATTTTGTTTCACTGTTCTACCCTTCATAGGAGCGTGAAGGCCAGCCACGTTCTGATCTCTGCAGACGGACAGGTCTGCATGTCTGGTCTGCGGAGCATTTTCAGCCTGATCCGTAATGGCCAGAGGGCGAAGGTGGTCCACGACTTCCCTCAGTACAGCGTGAAGGTGCTGCCGTGGCTGAGCCCAGAAGTGCTGCAGCAGGTACGTCCTCCTCACTCCACCGTGAGACCGCACAGTCTGACTGGAGCGATGATTATCTTTGACCTGTATTCAAATTATTTTTCTTAGAATTTGCAAGGCTACGACTCTCGGTCGGACATCTACAGCCTTGGAATCACAGCCTGTGAACTGGCCAATGGACACGTGCCCTTTAAAGACATGCCAGCTACACAGGTGAGCAGACCTGCTCTGTCACAGCGTCATGTCTTGTGGACGCGTTCTGTGCTAATCAGAGAAAACTACTTGAGTTTTCATTAGAATTATAGTTGTGCTTTATGAGAGTTCAAACCTTGGGTATAAAAAAGATCAGCTGTCTTAAACTGGACTGTTTTGAAATATAAAATCCGATGTTTTGAACTGAGTTTACTCCCACAGATGCTCCTGGAGAAACTAAACGGGACGGTTCCATGTTTGTTGGACACCACCACCATTCCACCAGAGGAGCTGTCTCTGAAGCCGTCCCGCTCCGGTGCCGACTCTGGGATCTGCGAGGGTCCGAGAGCAGGAGGGGCTCGACAGTCCAACGGGGAGCCGTCCTCGTCATCGGGACACCCCTACAACCGAACGTTCTCCCCTCAGTTTCACAACTTTGTTGAACTGTGTTTACAGCGAGAGCCAGAAAACAGGTTGGACAGAATTTTCTCTGCGTGGAAAACTTTTTAAAATAATTAAGAATAAAGACAACTAATGACTTTAATCTTTTTTTTTTTCTGCAGACCGTCTGCCTCCACTCTCATTGGGCATCCTTTCTTTAAACAGGTAAGTTAGCTATGAAGACAATACATTTTTACATTTTCAGTTTAATGCAGTTGATGTTTTTGGTTAATTAGCTTCTAGAACAGACGTGGGCATCTTAAGGCCTGAGGGCCAAAAGTGGCTCTTGGACATAATCTCCATCCAGCCCCCATCATCCTTAGTTTAAAAAAAAACACTTTTACAAAAAAAAGACTGATTAAAAAGAAAAAAACAGCGCTTTATCAACAAGACTTAAGGACATTTAAATTAAACATCTTACGCAAAACCTTTTTAAAAACATTTAAGTCATCGTGTTTCCAGAACACTTAACGCTTCTTTAACACTTAAACTCTTCTTAAAGACTTTGAAACACAAATATAAACCACTATTTTTTTTTCATATTTCCATTAACATGTATGACATGTTTCGCTAACGTGGATACAGCAGTCCCTCGCTACTTCGTGGTTCGTTTATCGCAGATTTGATCTTATCGGGGTTTTTCAAAATAAGAGTGGACATGTGCCCAACGATCGGCATGAATTTTTTAATTTAAAATAAATTATTTGGCAGCTGCTGCACATCTGTGCAGCCCAGAGCTGCAGGATAAACTTCCTGCTGCAGTTAAAACAGCTGATCAGCTGTTCATCGTGCAGAGTGGAGAAGTGGGCGTGGCCAAGCGCACTTGCAGGTGGCAAAGAGCAGAGGAGGCAGGGAGCTGAAATCATGACATTCTGTGCTCTTTTAGAGCTTTTAGAGTTTAGAAACATTGTTTATAATATTGCAAGTGTGAGAATGGATTAAAACGCCTTTATATATATAATAAAATAAACTACTACTTGTACGAATATTCCTACTTCGCGGTTTTTCACTTATTGCGCGTCTTCAGGGTATGGATCCCCCGCGATCAACGAGGGACTACTGTGTTGTCACAAGAGCCAGTTTACAGCGCATGTCTTATATTCCTAAAGGATATTGGAAAGATGTTTTTATAAAGCATGCTAACTATGCTACATTAAGAAAAAGCTTGAAAAAGATCTTCTAGATAATCTGCCGTAAAAACAAATACACATTTTCCAATTCTCTACGCGCTCTTTTGCTTTAAACGTCTTGATGTGGCCCATTGGGAAAAAAAAAGTTGCCCACCTCTGTTCTAGAAAGTATGACTTCTTTCTTTTGAACCAGTTCTAATGGATCACGCTTTAATAAGCGACAAGGATCCAAACATGACCTGGAGGGTTTATTTTTGAGTTTGTCCTGCCATGTTTTGAACTTTTCAGATCAAACGTCGACCTCTGGAGGCGCTGCCCGAGCTCTTGCAGCCCGTGGCACCCATCACTTGCTTCGAGAGCCCCCAGCCACAGGATTCTGTTTCTGGACTGGCGAGTCTGGAGTCCGGCTTCAGCCACCTGGAGGTGGACGACTGGGACTTCTGACGGAGGAGCACGTACAGGACCAGCATATTGTGTTGCTAAAGCCTGAGCAGAAGATGGATTCATTTTTGTTACGGCCTCGTAAATGTTAAAGTCAAAGGAGTCCGTGTTGTCGGAGGGTAACGGCAGTCGTTTTGCCTGTTTTTGGCGTCTCGCTCACACTTCTGCTCTTTGACGATGCACGAACTGTCAAGAGGCACTGATGACCTCTCGCACATCTTCTTACAGATTGTACGCTCACAGGACGGCTCCGTTTGAGTTGTCCGCCCTTAATCTGAAAGGTCAGGAGATGGATAATGTGACGTTGCTACTAAATATTCAGAGGAAACACTCCACCTTTTGTGTTAACATGCGATTTGGTCCATCTGCTCAGAGGGCCCACCATACGGAGAGCCAGCAGGTCTCGCCACCAGCTCTGTTGGCCCAGATGGACGTTTTTGTTGCGAGGGTCAAACAGCACGTAAATGCATTTCTTCACTTTTTGTTTGCGTTACAGCCCAAACGACAGCCGTGCTCGAATTGTCCACTCACTACATCATGCACGAGAAACTGATCAGTAAGTCGTACAGAACTGGCGGAGGTGGATCGTAATGCTTTCCAGCTCAGCCGGCTAATCGAGGCTAATGCTGCGGCTCGTTGTTGTGATTTTAATCAGACTCAGTAAAAAAATGCTTTTGAATATTTTAATATAATGTGGCTCACCTCTCCCTCTGCCTAAGCTGTGGGGCTTATGAGAAAATGTACAAAACATAAAAGTCTAAACACGAAACATTTTAAAGACATAAAGCTGCATTTCATCCCTCACGATGCTGCCTGGCTTGTCGGACAACTTTAAAATTAGTTCTAAACAAAAATCTTTTGTGATAATTCGCAGTCGGAAGGTTTTAGTTGCAGCTGCAGACCGTGGTTGTGTAAATAAATGTGCTCCGGAGAGAAGAGAGATGTTTATTACGACATTCAGGCATGTATTCCAACAGATGTCACCTGGCTGAATACTTGGTAATTATCAAGTGCGCTTCGTTCAAAATGCAGAAATACCACGTGTCCTCGATCTGATTTACTAGAGACCGCAGTGCAGTGAGTGAAGATTTCAAACACGGCTGCAAAGTTCACCTTTTGTTGCACAGAGGTTGTAATTGTTAAGTTTACCCTCAAGTTCTCTGGGCGTTCCTCACGTCAAACTAAGCGAACGTTTTATTGTTTTGTCTGCATGTACGTTTGAAAGTAAGGACAGAGCAACATGTTACAAATAAAATCTTTTACGTTCAACTTTGCACAGCTTCAGTGTTTTAACATGATCATACAAAAGAGCTGAGGCTGTAAACCCTATTTTATATAAATACAAACTGACATCCACACAAACGGACGAGGACTAATCTTCTTCGTCTGACGGCGGCTGGTCTGTTAAAGCGTTGCGTTTCTCCATCTTGGCAATCAGCTCTGCAATAAATGGAAATAAAATGACTTAAACTGATTCAGCCTGACACGATAACAAATGTTGCTGGGCGATTAATTGTCTCAGAAATTATTGCGATAAATGATATTGTTTGAAATTTGACAATAATTAGTAATTATTGTCAAATTTAAGAAGAAATGTTGGTTAATTTGCGTGTAGTACCTTTTGTGACCACTGGATGGCAGTATAAGACTGTTTGAACCAAAGGATGGATAGCGAGGGAGCGAGCAGCGTGTCTCTAAGAAAAATGGGAGGGAGGCCCCTTGACGTGACATGGGCTGTATCTCGTTCCTCAAAATGGCCTACGCGCAGTGTGGTTTGAGCTCTTTAGCATTTGTCACACAAAGCTTTTAATTAAAAAAAAATCAGTAAACAAGTTCTCAGCTTCTTTTTGCAGAGAAAAACCACTTTTTAGACAAAGACACGGGTTTTAACCGTGAATTTTGGAGCTTTGACAAGACAAATGTTTTTTCCCCGAGGTCGGCCTGTTAGCTTAGCTTCTCAGCTTAGCTGCTTTTAACGATCCAAAAACGCAATTTTGGATCGTTAAAACAGATTTTAAAGAGAAAGGGAGGGGTCAGTGAAGAGCCTTTTGTCATCCAGTGTCTTCAGTAGAGAGACGAAGAAACGATAAAGCCGATAAATGAAAACGAGGTCGATTAATTTTCATTTATGATGCGATTAATTGATTTATTGTTTATCGCGACAGGCCTAAAGTTGATTGCTATAATTTTTTGACGTTCTGCTTACCTTTAGCAGGGTTGAACACTCCATTAGTCTGAGTGTTGCACACGTAGCAGCGCTTCGACTTGCGGTAATGCTGAAGGGCACAGCTCTCACAGAAGTAATGCTTACACCTAGAAAACAGACGGGTTAGCTGCTGGTATTGACACGCAGCGCTACAGAGTGATGGAGGAATGCATTCAGAGGAGAATTACTTTGTGATGATGGGGTTTTTAAAAGATTCCCGGCAAATGAAGCACTTGAAGGGCATATCCTCCTCGTCGCTGCTCACCTCGTAGTTCTCGTCATCTAGATGAAAACACAAAGGATTCAGCAAAATGCTCCGAGCATGCCGAAGTCGATTTTTAAAACCGCTTTTCGACTCACCGTTTGCTCCATATCTCCCTTCATCCAGTTCCCTCTCGATCTGCCAGCCATGTTTATAGTCGGATCTGTCGTGAAGGAACTTGCAGCTGTCTGATGGCAGTAAACAAGGAACAGAAACGATGAAAAACAAGAGCTGTCTGACTGATACTAGACAGGAATCTTCTGCATTCTCAATCTTATACTAACCTCCAAAACCACAGAAACCCGTCTCCTTGTAGTCTTTGCAAATATCCGGCTGATAGTCCCACCGGACTGTGGCTCTCAGGTGTTCAGGTGCTCGGATCGGTCCTTTTCTGTTAAAAATATTGAACGTAAACTTTAGCACCCACAGATAAAGAATGCTTAAAGACAGCAAGTAAACATGCCTCGCCTCACCTGACCATGCCAGAGGAGGCGTTGCCCATAGTGGTATCTTTAGGCTTAATGAACTTTTGGTAGTTATTGATGCCACGGTAGATTTTATCATCTTCTTTACCCGTCAGCTCCTTAAAAACAAAACAAAAAACTTGTTTGATTAAAGTTCTCTGGTTCAGTACCTCTCATTTTATCGATTTGTTGGACTACAAGCAAGATTTAGGCCATGCAGCATAAAGTTTCCCCTGTTGTACAAAAACCACATCAAAGCTACTCGTCACAATATCATGAAGGCCGGTTAAAAAAAAAAAACAACAACCATAAAATGAGACAAAATGAGCACAAATGTGTACTTAAATTAAAATGAAAAATAAAACTCTGGTTGCAAAATTGCGTTTGTTTACCTATGAAAACAGCCGAAGTGACTGAAAACAGATCAACAGTGGTGTTCATGTTCATTCTTTATGTTTCCACCTAAACATCTTGAGATTCTATGCTTGTCTGATTCCACCATTGTTTACCTACAAACTATAACCAGCCTAATGTGGGTCCAGAATGTGACCCAAGCTTGCATTTGGGGTTTGGTGTATTAAGCATAGTGCTTTGTTTACAATGAGTGTGGACCTGCATTTTAATATATCTGTAAAACTACTGAAGCAAACTCTTTCAGACTGAACCATGAGTAGCTTTAATGGATTGATAATAT